AGGAAAAGATCGCGGAAGTACAACGGGAGAATAGAAATAGTTTTAATAAGCGTCGAAAAATCGCGAGAAACTATGTAATCGGCGATTTAGTGGCGATTAAGAGGACTCAGCAAGGGCCGGGGGCAAAATTGTCAGCCAAATATTATGGTCCGTATCGTATAATGAGAGCGTTGCGAAATGAGCGATATGTCGTAAAAAAAGTAGGCAATCACGACGGCCCAGGAGAAACCAGCACAGCAGCAGAGTATATGAAAGTCTGGGTCCACGAATCAGACTCTGACCGAAGCGACGAAGAAAACGCGGAAAATGTCTGAGGCCAGACATCGCTGCAGGACGGCCGAGTGTAGGCGGTAGAAAATCGCGAAAATACGTTTAAAAACATCGACATATCGATGTTTTAAACGTATACATAGGCCAGCCGTTAAGACGCGTGCGAAAGTCACGCACCGGTGTCGACGACACAGGTGATAAACACTGCCGAAAGGCGAGCGACCGCGAGAACGAGAGCGAAAGAGAGAGAGTGTGTGCGTGAGAGAGAGAGAGAATGTAAAGGGCAATAAACGCCGAAATAAGTGTGACAACGAATGTGTGCGAGAATGTGAATATAAGCGAGAAAACGAAGAGAACGGCAGTGCGTATGATACGAGCGAGACGTAAAGAGACAACTCGTGAATAAAATAAACCTGTGTGTGTCGGAATTACGAGGGATAATTTTCTTAACCGATATTCTGAAATCCATATCCCTACACTACTGAGTACTGACACCCTTCGACTATTTATACGCATGCTTCAGTTGTATGATGGCAGGCTCGACGACACAGGCGACTGTGTCTTTGACCAACGTGAAGTTCCCGGATACGATCCGGAACTTGGCCGGTTGGTGGACCCAACCGCTACCAGAAGTAGGCAGTTCGGTCGGTTATTTAGACCAGACACTTGGAGGTACCGATACCGCATCCAAAGCGGGCTGCCGAGGACAATCATATACATCGTGGGCATCGTTGTCTCGATCGTATGTTACTGGTTTTACCTACGACGTCGCACAACCAGACCGCCGAGTGCGGGTTCAACGAGACGTGAACGAGGACTGGGGGGACATACCAACACCACAGGAGCTGGCGACGATGGACAAGCCGAGCCGAATTGGCATCAGGGAGGGGAGGATGAGATTCGTGCGAGCGTTGGGATACGCGACAACGGAGACGAGATACCGACAACACCGTCTCAGAGCTCGGAGAGCACCCGCACCGGCGGAACAGAACTATCAGGGTCAGGTGAATGTCTTGGGTGATAACGCGGTACCAGCTCCTCCGCCCCAACCTGCGGCGGAACCATCATTCGTGTACTCGGACATGGTTCCCGTGAGATCTGTCTCCATATCCCACACTCGAGGATTGTTCGAAATGGGCGTCGAAACTCCATACTTGAACTCCTACATGCAGTTCTTGAGTCGTTTAGTCGATCCTGCAAACACCGGGGTTCTTGGCGCAACTGTACGTGGTCCCAACGTACGCGATGCTTTGTCGATAACCAGCTTAGTCAAAGCGATGAGCCAGCGTCCAAATACAATACTCGAGCACGCTCCGCTTGTAAGATCGGCGTGTATGGCATTATCTGTCAACCCATCTGTTAGTTTTCTACTTAGCTTTAAGCCTTTACAAAAATCAATCTTACTTCCTTGATACACGGAGATGCCGTTTCTCCTTCATCTGTTTATATGAGAAAGGAGATAACGCACCTGTTTCGAGCCGGAGCATTCTCCAACTTCGGTCGATGGCAAGACAAGTTATTATTTCCGGCCATATAAATTCACAGCCCAAGTGCATGCATCTTGAGCAAACAAATTCGTGCCTACGCATAAGCAAATTCCATTAGACACGCCACTTCTTAGCAAGGCGACGGTTTAAGGCCCTTCAGATAACGAGACGCCATAAAACAATAAATCAGTTTCGAACCGGGAACAGTCCTCGCGCCAAGCGAGAGGGTTCTTTAGGTAAACAGGGTCCTATTGAAATCGGGACACTCGGCCCAAACCGAGGCCTCCCACATGGTACACTGGCCAACTACTTTACGAGCTGTCAAGGAGTGTCTCGAGTTACCAAACTCAGACGACTTTCCTCGCCAACAACAGGAACAGTTCCTTGCAGTCAAGGGCCAATATATCTTTCCTCAAAGAAGTTCCTCTCCTTAGCTACAATCTGTTTACCAGCCGATGCACATGTCCATGACTCCAATACATTCCGGCTGACAAAGGCCCTCGGTCGCACACACCGAGCAACCAATTAGATGCATTGGTCTTTAGGCCAAACCCATCAACAGACCAAATCACACCAGTGATTGGACCTCCAGATTCTTTCCAAAACTTAGTCGATCTTGGCATGCAGGGGGAGGTCTCGATAATCCAATCGGTGTGCTCTAACGCGGCAGCGACCCCTGAGTGGTCCCCGTTGTTAGACACAGCCGCAACTCGGCCACCCTCCCTAAGATCGACGGACCCAAATCACCCCAGTGATTGGGCCTATCTATCAGTTACCACCTTTTGGCAATCTTGGCATGCAGGGGGAGGTCTCGATAGTCCAATCGGTGTGCTCTAGCGCGGCAGCGACCCCTGAGTGGTCCCCGTTGTTAGACACAGCCGCAACTCGACCACCCCCCCAAGATTGCATGTTGACCGGTGGGACAAATCTCGTCTAGTCTACCAAAGGATCTCTCTCGTGAAACACATAGCGAACAGACGAACCATCGTCATCAAGCGTCCTAGTTTCAATCGTGAGAGATCGACCACAGACGCGAGACTGTCCCACATCTATCTCTGATCCAGAAACATCAAAAAACAACCTTATCCTCTCCATCACCCTATCAGGTCGTGGAGACGCACTCGAGTCGTGGAGAGAAGATTTACAACCTTCGACGATCCGATCGGCCAACGTGACGGTCACTCCACCCTCAGTGCTGAACATTTTGGTCCTTCGAGCCGGATTCGAACAGTGATCCGTGGTTTCACGAGTTAGTGAACGAACTTAGTGTACGAACGTAGTGTCCAGACTCAGTGTACGAACCCAGTGCATGGACTCAGTGTGAGAACACAGTGAACTGTGACAAATAGGATTAAGTACAAGAGAGGTGTAGTAGTTATTAAAAAACACAGTGTGTGACCACGCAGACCACTGCGTCCAGGCTGGATTATTGAGTGCAACAAGCTCTTCATAACGGGCACACACCAGACGGTCTGGAGGATCTGTCAAAGGCTTGAGCACCGGGGCAACCAACATTCAACAGAAAGTCCGCTTCGACAAGGTAAGCTCGTTTAATTGTTTCGCCAATTCCCTCGATATCCTTCGCACAGCATCACAATGCCGAATCCGTCGGGGTCAAACCTCGCGCAGTCTGTACCACACAGCATCAGCACATTACGTCGCAAACGCGGTAACATTATCGGACATATTACGTCGCTTACGAGTTTTCTCGACGACTACGAAACGTCAGCTCATCGCGATACTTTTCTGCTGCAAACGCATCTGAACGGTTTGATCGAGGCATGGAAACGGTTCGACGAAATTCAGTTCACCATCGAAGAGCTCGACGAGTCCGAAGGGGCGCGACGCTTTGAAATTCAAGGCAATTATTATGCCGCGGTAGCACGGGCAAATCGGCTCATTCAAGGCGACCAGCCGTCGGGTCCTACAACCCGTGGCACGGCCGCGTCACCCGCGTCAACCGTTACGGCCCCGATGGCCATAAAACTACCTGAAATGCGGTTACCGACCTTCGACGGGACCATTGACAAGTGGGCCTCGTTCTTCGACCTATTCTCATCAATGATTGACCGGAACGAAAACCTGTCTCCGGTACAGAAACTCCAGTATTTACGATCGACCCTTTCCGGAAAGGCAGCCGCGTGCATACAAGCACTTAGCACCACCGATGCAAACTACCTTAGTGCAATTGAACTTTTGAAGGAGAAATTTGATTGCACTAGACGGACCATTATCGGGCATTGCGACGCATTGTTAAACATCCCGAGACTCGTAAAGGATTCCGCAGAAGCTCTCGGTGACCTCGTAGATTCGGTTAATCAACATCTTCGCGCATTGAACAATTTGGGTGAAAACGTCGCATCCTGGAACAGCATTTTAGTATCAATCATCCTGGCAAAACTAAATTCAGATACTGTTTGGCACTGGGAACTCACCCTAAAGGATAAAAAAAGGATGCCAGCATACACTGATTTGTTAGCATTTCTCGAAAGGCGGGCAAATTGCGTGCCAGCAGCATCCGCGAAATCAGCGCGACCATCAGACCACCCAAACGGACGACCGGCAGACCATCCGCGATCTTCGAGACACCGGTTAACAAAAACCCACGCATTCCTATCATCGAGAACACAACGTCCGCACCCGTACGGGGAGCGCACGAAACGGGAAACGGCAATAACACCCGGCACCTCCCATCGGCAATGCGCCACCTGCAATCGAGAACACGGCATCTGGGGTTGCAAACAGTTCCTGGATTTACCTGTACAGGACAGACGGGCCACGGCACAACGGGCCTCATTGTGTCTGAATTGTTTGCAAAGGGGTCACACCCGGGTAGCCTGCACGAAAGGCTCCTGCCGAATCTGTCAAGAACGGCATCATACTTTGCTGCATCAAAACGAGCAGGTACGAGGTCACGCGACCACGAAGCCCTCGACATCGACCTTACCGACAAAGACCCTACCATCCACCGACGGCCCATCATCACCATCCTGACTAGACGGGTATACAACTCCGGCGAGCACAAGGGGTCATAATGCATTCATAGTCGACGCAATCACCAATGAGCTTCTTGTGACCGCACAAGTCGACATTTTGAACAAAGACCAAAACCCAATCCACTCCCGTGCATTACTGGACACGTGCGCGTCAACAAACTTTATGACTGAATCCCTCGCTAGGAAACTCGGCATCACTCAGAAGAAATGCTCCATTCCCATCGGAGTTCTCAATTCTATGGCCACAATGTCGAAAACTTCGGTCACCGCGACCATCAATTCAAGAATCAGCAAGTATCAACGGACCTTAACATTCTTAACCATTCCACAAATATCGTCGCTCATTCCGGATCAATCCATCGATCGCGCAACAATCACCATCCCGAAGAATTTGAAATTAGCAGATCCGAACTTTCACCGCCCAGCGCCAGTCGATCTCTTATTGGGCTCCGGAGCAGCGTTGTCCGTCCTGAGTGTCGGACAAATCGACCTTTCACCACCCGACGGACCAGACTTGTATTTACAGAAGACGAGACTGGGATGGGTCATCGGGGGGAGCGCTCCGGCATCCCAACCCAGGCAAAATTCCTCTTGTCACATGACCAACAACTTGCAGTTTGATCTCACCCGCTTTTGGGAGATAGAGGAAGGGCCAAGGGTGCAGCATTTGTCAGAAACGGATCGGGTCTGTGAGGAACACTTTCGCAGTCACGTGACACGCAGTTTGAACGGGCGATACGTAGTAGCTCTTCCGTTCAAAGAAAACGTATCACGATTGGGTGAATCGAGATCAAGAGCATTGAATCGACTGATCTCATTAGAGCGAAAATTGCAGCGTGATGAACAATTGCGTCAGGATTATCGGGCTGTTGTGCACGAATACCTGGAGCTCGGACACATGTCCGATGTACCAAACGCTCAGGATTTGAACGAAGGGTATTACCTACCCCATCATGGAGTCACGAAAATCACGATTGAGACCACCAAATTGAGGGTGGTATTTGACGGCTCAGCACCCACAACCACAGGAATCTCCCTCAACGACACGCTGCACGTCGGTCCGAAGATTCAGGATGACCTCCTTCACATCCTACTTCGATTCCGTTGTCATCAATATGTATTGACGGGAGACATCGAGAAGATGTACCGACAGTTCATGGTTCGTCCGGAAGACAGGAAGTACCAAAGGATTCTTTGGCGCGACTCTACCGGACAGATCAGAACATACGAATTAAACACCGTCACATTCGGTCTGTCAGCCGCGCCCTATTTAGCGATCCGCTGCCTGACGCAACTGGCCCACGACGAAGGGTATCGATTCCCGGGAGCGGCCGAAATCCTGGTGAGAGATTTCTACGTAGACGACCTGCTCACCGGAGCAAAGACGATAAAAGAAGCCATAGATCTGCGGAATCACCTCACGCAGCTCCTTAGAATAGCAGGGTTGAATATCCGCCAATGGGCTTCCAACCACCAGTCGCTTCTACGAGGATTACCGCAGCAAGATATCAACAAACGACTCCACCTCGGAGAGTCATCGACCATAAAGACGCTGGGAGTGGTTTGGAACTCCGAAAATGACTCCATCACCTATGCAGTCAAGATCACCAATTCCGCATCACTCGTCTCAAAACGATCCATCAGTTCCGAAATAGCAAGGATTTACGATCCATTGGGGCTTCTAGGACCCGTCATCATCTTAGCAAAAATCATCTTACAGAAGATCTGGACCTTGAAGGTCGACTGGGATGAATCTCTTCCCATGCATATCCACACCGAGTGGATGCATTATTACACTCAACTCCCACTGCTGAACAATGTCATATTCGCGAGGCAAACAATCATCAACGAGATGGCACGGATCGAACTGCACGGATTTTGCGACGCTAGTGAACGAGCCTATGGAGCCTGCATTTATCTACGAACGATGGACACGCACGGTAGGATTCAAGTGCAACTCCTCGTGGCAAAGTCCAAGGTGGCACCGTTGAAGAGCCAAACGATACCACGACTAGAACTCTGCGGAGCACTCCTCCTTACCTCATTGACCTCAACGGTCCAACGATCTCTACATTTATCGCCAGAACGCATTCTCCTATGGACCGACTCTACGATCGTCCTGCATTGGCTAACGACCTCTCCACATTTATTGAAGACCTTCGTGGCGAACCGCGTTTCTGAAATCCAAACAAAATCAAGCGGAGCAAATTGGCGACATGTTCCTACCACCGACAATCCCGCGGATCTCGTGTCGCGGGGTCAGTCACCGGAGGAATTCCTCCGCCCATCCATCTGGCACCACGGACCAGAATGGCTTCAACTCGAGGAACCGTACTGGCCAACATGGGAACTAGCACCGGTCACTACAATTCCTGAGCAGCGAATGACAACCTGTCTAACGACTATGTCCATCGACACCTCCATTCTAGACAGGTATTCGTCGTGGGGAAAGACGGTGCGGGTCACCGCGCGGTGCCTCCGCTGGAAACGAACAAACATCGAACGGGGGACTCTGGCAGCTTCAGAACTTCACCACGCTCATAATGCCCTAATCAAGCTGCTTCAAAGGGTACATTTTTCCGACGAGATACAAGGTCTCACCAAGGGGCGAAACAGCGGTCTCAAGAGTAAAATGCAACGATTGAACGCCTTTTTAGACAACGACGGGATGCTACGAGTCGGAGGCCGGTTAAAACATTCATTGATGCCCTTTCACCAAAAACACCCTATAATACTGCCAAAGGCACGCGCAACGACCCTCATCATTGAGGACATACACCGGTCCCATCTACATGCAGGTATACAAGCAACCCTGTACGCAGTAAGGCGCCGATACTGGCCCATCGACGGCCGAAGTCAGGTGTGGAAGGCCGTAAAGATCTGCGTACAATGCAGCCGAGCCCAACCACCACCCGTGGATTACATCATGGGCAATTTACCTGCTCCACGGGTAACAGAGTCACGGCCATTCTCGAATGTTGGAATCGACTACTGCGGACCTTTCTTCATCAAGGAACGAAGACACCGAAACCGTAGTCGAGTCAAGGTGTACGTGGCAGTGTTCATATGCCTCGCAGTAAAGGCAGTACACCTCGAACTCGTGAGCGATCTCACCAGCGAGGCCTTCATCGCAGCCCTTCGACGTTTTATTGCGCGACGAGGACTTTGCACAAGCATATCCTCCGATAACGGCACGAATTTCGTTGGGGCTAACAACGAATTGCGCGAATTAAAAACACTTCTAGATTCCGACGATCATATCAACAAGGTGAAAACCTTCCTCGCCGACCGATTAATCGACTGGAACTTCATTCCCCCGCTGTCTCCTCATTTCGGAGGTCTCTGGGAAGCAGCGGTAAAATCATTTAAATACCACCTCAAACGCGTCACAGGACCCGGATTATTCACCTTCGAGGATTGCAATACGCTCATTATTGAAATCGAGGCCATTTTAAACTCTCGCCCACTAACACCCATTTCCTCTGATGCGAATGACCTGCTAGTCCTCACCCCGGGTCACTTTCTAATTGGCGATTCATTGACGAGCTTGCGCGAGCGAGATTTCAGAGACACCCCATCAAATCGCCTCTCCAGCTGGCAGCATATCCAGAAGTTGAAACAGCACTTCTGGATTCGATGGCATTGCGAATATTTAAACGAATTAACTAATCGCAGCAAATGGTCCACGGGCGCGCATCAAATAAAGGAAGGCACAATCGTGCTCCTACGAGAGGACAACACCCCACCGATGCAGTGGCCCCTCGGGAAGGTGATCAAGGTGCACCCAGGTTCGGACGGAATCATCCGAGCGGTTACGGTCAAAACTGCCACGACCACTCTCGACCGAAACGTCAAGCGGCTAGCACCGCTGCCCATTCAACCAGGGTCGGAAGATTCGGCAAAGGCCGAGTAAACCAAAGGTACCAACCAACACCCCCTCTAGTACGCAAGGGTGAGTACCAGACTTTTACTAGTTGATCGGTGCCCTCTCAACGGGGGGAGGATGTTTCGAGCCGGAGCATTCTCCAACTTCGGTCGATGGCAAGACAAGTTATTATTTCCGGCCATATAAATTCACAGCCCAAGTGCATGCATCTTGAGCAAACAAATTCGTGCCTACGCATAAGCAAATTCCATTAGACACGCCACTTCTTAGCAAGGCGACGGTTTAAGGCCCTTCAGATAACGGGACGCCATAAAACAATAAATCAGTTTCGAACCGGGAACAGTCCTCGCGCCAAGCGAGAGGGTTCTTTAGGTAAACAGGGTCCTATTGAAATCGGGACACTCGGCCCAAACCGAGGCCTCCCACATGGCACACTGGCCAACTACTTTACGAGCTGTCAAGGAGTGTCTCGAGTTACCAAACTCAGACGACTTTCCTCGCCAACAACAGGAACAGTTCCTTGCAGTCAAGGGCCAATATATCTTTCCTCAAAGAAGTTCCTCTCCTTAGCTACAATCTGTTTACCAGCCGATGCACATGTCCATGACTCCAATACATTCCGGCTGACAAAGGCCCTCGGTCGCACACACCGAGCAACCAATTAGATGCATTGGTCTTTAGGCCAAACCCATCAACAGACCAAATCACACCAGTGATTGGACCTCCAGATTCCTTCCAAAACTTAGTCGATCTTGGCATGCAGGGGGAGGTCTCGATAGTCCAATCGGTGTGCTCTAACGCGGCAGCGACCCCTGAGTGGTCCCCGTTGTTAGACACAGCCGCAACTCGACCACCCTCCCTAAGATCGACGGACCCAAATCACCCCAGTGATTGGGCCTATCTATCAGTTACCACCTTTTGGCAATCTTGGCATGCAGGGGGAGGTCTCGATAGTCCAATCGGTGTGCTCTAGCGCGGCAGCGACCCCTGAGTGGTCCCCGTTGTTAGACACAGCCGCAACTCGACCACCCCAAGATTGCATGTTGACCGGTAGGACAAATCTCGTCTAGTCTACCAAAGGATCTCTCTCGTGAAACACATAGCGAACAGACGAACCATCGTCATCAAGCGTCCTAGTTTCAATCGTGAGAGATCGACCACAGACGCGAGACTGTCCCACATCTATCTCTGATCCAGAAACATAAAAAAACAACCTTATCCTCTCCATCACCCTATGAGGTCGTGGAGACGCACTCGAGTCGTGGAGAGAAGATTTACAACCTTCGACGATCCGATCGGCCAACGTGACGGTCACTCCACCCTCAGTGCTGAACAGCACCCCTCTTAAACGAGATCATCGGTGCCTCATGTCACAGGCTCTGCGTGCCTAGAAGAGTTAGTCTTTTCGAGCCATTCAAAACGAGAAGATCACTTCCGATGCGTGTTAAATAAAATATTCACATATATATAGAATGCAAAGAGTGTTCAATAAAACCCATTTCCCAATAGGTTATGGGCCCAGGTCTAACGTGTAGCAACTGTGCGGAACTAATTTTATAATAATTATTTTAAGTGTTTTTAATCATTGTTAGTTGTGCAAGGACACGTATATAAACATTCATTATGGATCAATTAAAAGTGAAAAGAAACATTATTCCTTTTAATGGTGATAGGTATAGTGTGTGGAAGTTCAGAGTTCGTTCGTTGTTAACTGAACTAAGCGTGATTAAAGTTATCGATGAAAGGGTTCCAGACGAGAAACCTGACGACTGGGACAAGGCCGAAAACACTGCTAAGAGTGTCATTATCGATTTCTTATCGGATTCGTTTCTTGGTTTCGCGAGTGGAAGTGTGACAGCGAAAGGAATTATTGAAAATTTGGACAAAATTTATGAAAGAAAAAGTCTCGCAACTCAGTTGGCAATCAGGAAGAAATTGCTAAGCTTAAAATTACAAGGAGATGTACCGTTAGTCAAACATTTCACTGTTTTTAATGACTTAATTACGGAATTAACAGCGGCTGGAGCAAAGTTGGATGAAACAGATAAAGTGGCGCACTTGCTGTTAACTCTTCCACCTTCTTACGATGGTGTGATTACAGCAATAGAGACATTGTCCGAAGATACATTGACTCTGGCGTTTGTAAAAACTAGACTCCTTGACCACGAGGTAAAAATAAAAGCGGAAAGTACAGATACGAGTGCAAAAGTACTTTATACTAGAAATACAGTAAACACAACGAGACAGCCAGATTTTGACGCATCGCTGGTTAAAGGTTTTGCTCGAAAATTTGGACATTTTAATAAATTCAAAAATAACAGAAGAATCCCTAGTATTAAATGTCACCACTGCAATAAACCAGGACACATGAAACGTGAATGCCGCTACTATTTGAAGGAATTGAAACAGAAGAATTATAGAGAGACTGAGAAAAGGAAAACAAATCAGACTGCTCAAATGGCTCAACAGTTACCATCGAGTGAAAGATCTAGCTTTGCTTTCATGACTGGTGATAATGAATTCGAAAGATGTGAAAAGAATGAGATAACGTTCCTGATGGATTCTGGAGCATCAGATCACTTGATCAACAAGGAAGATTTAACTAAGAACTTTGTTGATTTAAATCCGCCAATAAAAGTCGGAGTCGCAAAAAGTGGATGTTTTATCTTGGCAACGAAAATTGGCTCATTGAACGTGATAAGCAACCTAGGTGTCGAAGGAGTACTGGAGGATGTCCTGTACAGTGCAGAGGTCCCAAGAAACTTGTTATCAATTTCAAAACTTCGAAAAGCGAAGCTAAGGACAGTTATGGATGAAAACGAGATCTCGATTAGTAAACATGGTAAAACAATAGCAACAGGTAAACCCATTGGAAATACTTTTCAAATTAAATTTTATATTGAATTGAATGAAGTAAACTCTATCGCTCGATTAAGTAAAGGTACAAATATTGATTATGAATTGTGGCATCAGCGTTTGGGCCACATGGGCAAACATAAATTTATAGAATTGCAAAGAAATAAAATGGTTAGTGATGTAAGTCAAATAGAGAAAATAATCCCAAACGATAAATTGTGTGAGGCTTGCATAAGTGGAAAACAAAAGAGATTGCCATTTAACAAAGTAAAAGATAAGAGTCATATAAAGAGACCATTGTTTGTAATACATTCGGATGTTGCTGGTCCTATCACTCAACCTACGTTTAATAACAAAAATTATTTTGTGTTGTTCATCGATGAATTTACTCATTACTGTGTTACATATTTAATAACATTCAAATCAGATGTATTTTCTGTTTTTCGTGATTACATTTCAAAAGCTGAAGCGCGTTTTAATTCAAAAATAGTTAATCTGTATAGCGATAATGGTAGAGAGTATTTATCTAGTGAGATGAAGGACTATTGTATACAGAAAGGTATAAGCTATCACTTGACGGTACCGAGAACCCCACAGCAAAATGGTGTATCAGAAAGAATGGTGAGAACAGTCACAGAAAGAGCTCGAAGTTTGATAGCCGGTGCTCAATTAGATAAAACCTTTTGGGGTGAAGCAGCTTTGACTGCTACGTATTTAATAAACATAACACCGACGAAGGCTCTAAAGGGAAATAAAACGCCATTTGAATTATGGCATGGAAAGAAACCTCAGATAACAAATCTGAAAGTATTTGGTTCGACTGTTTATGTCCATGATAAAATTTTTAAAACAAAATTTGACGAGAAGTCGTGGAAAGGAATCTTGGTTGGTTATGAACCAAATGGATACAAAGTGTGGGATGTCTCAAACGAGAAATTTGTTATTGCTAGAGATGTTATTGTAGATGAAATCGATTTTCTAAAAACAAGACCAATAGCAATAACAAATGAGATTAACTTAAAAGGATCTCAAACTGAAACTGGTGTTGAAGATATATCCAAACCAGCGGAGTCAAGTGATAAGGTGAGAAAAACGAGAGAATGGGATTGTAATGGTTCTTCATCTCATGAGAAACAATTAAATAAAGATTCAAAACAAATTAGAAGGAGTGAAAGGCTCAGAGGTAATCCACACATTTCTTGCGATGAGAATGAAATTCCGGACGATTATATTTTGTGTGCACAATCGATTACCTGCAAAATTCCAAAATGTTACGCGGAAGTTAAAGAGAATGAGCATAGAATGAAATGGGAAGGAGCAATAGAAGAAGAGATTAATTCTCTTTTAGTAAATAAAACATGGACTCTAGTACCGAGGCCTGAGAATAAAAACATAGTAGATTGTAAATGGGTATTTACAGTTAAAAATGACGAATTTGGAAATCCAATAAAATACAAAGCTCGTTTAGTAGCTAAAGGGTTTAGTCAAAAATATTTATTAGATTATGATGAAACTTTTTCCCCCGTAGCAAGAATTGCGAGTTTTAGATTTTTAATAGCTTTTGCAAATCAATTTGAATTATTAATTCATCATATGGATGTAAAGACCGCTTTCTTGAATGGAAAATTAAAAGATGAAATTTACATGAGAGTTCCTGATGGTATTGAAGTTAAAAAGAATCTAGTTTGTAAATTAAACAAATCCCTGTACGGTTTGAAACAAGCAGCAAGGTGCTGGAATGAAATTTTTGATCAAACTCTCAAAGAATTAGGTTTCAAAAGTTCAGCGGTAGATCCATGTCTTTATATTTTTGATAAAGGAGATATTAATAAAAATATTTACATTATATTGTATGTTGACGATCTGGTAATAATTACAGCACGTATTGAAGTAATGAATGAATTAAAATCTTATCTAATGGATAAATTTTCAATGGTTGATTTAAAGGAGATAAAACTTTTCTTAGGAATTAGAGTCACGAGAAATGAAAAGGCAATAACCCTCGATCAGAGTGCATATATTAGTACAATTTTAAATAAATTCAATATGCAAGATTGTAAAATAGTAAGTACGCCAATGGAAACTAAATTAAACTATACAGCTCTAAACTCGGATGAGATGTATAATGCTCCATGTCGCAAGCTCATCGGATGTTTAATGTACTTGACGGT